TAACTAAACTAAATTAAAGGTGTATCACTCCTTGAGGCCACGCAATCCTTCCCTGATGACTGCATGCTGGGTAGGAACTAGGAAGGAGCCTTGAATTATACCCCACCACCCACACACACATTGGCCTGCGGCTTTTCCACGTTTTTTTGGGGTCTGGATTTGACACCTGTCGCCACAAAAGGGATAAACAAAATATCTGTGGAAAACATCGTTATTTTGACATATAAAAAATTATTACCTGCACGTACCACATAGGTATGCAAATTTGGGATCGCCATATGCGTACTTGAAGCCAATTATAGTTATCGACCCATATTCATACCAGAATGTGTGAATGTGATGATTGTGAAAAATAATATGTGATGCATGTGCAAAAAATAGTTCATAGTTTAAATGTAAATGACAATATGTTTAATAGATGTCAATTCTCCAAAGTGATTTAGACATCAATGGAAAGACGTCTAATAGACGTCAATACTCGAACGTGGTTTAGACATCAATGGAAAGACGTCTAATAGACGTCAATACTGCAACACGATTTATACATCAATGGAAATTCGGCTAATAAACGTCGTTTTTGCGTCATTCTAAGACGTCGTCTGTATGACAAAGAAACGACCAATCGAAGACGTCTAAAAGACGTCGTGTGCCCACTGGGGTATATGTACACAGTGTATGAACTCACTGGTCGTCTACGGGTTCGCATAGATCTGTTTCTGTTGAACTGCCTTGTAGGTTCGAAATCATCATCATCACTAGACATTTCTGCAGGAATGTGGTATTGAAATTTAAAAGTTCAAAAATAAATATGTTGGATCAAACTGTGTTTGATATACCAGAAAGTTATAACCCCAAAGTTAGAAAAACAGCACGCAAGCAATGACAATTACAATTAAGTGCAGCACTGATAAAATGTGGGTTTCAAACACGTGCATTATACTTACAACAATTCATTCACTTATTTTATGAAATATATACTTACAAGAGAAGATGAAGTTTTTATATCCGAAGCAATATACAATGCCCCTTGACCAACATTGCTCATCACTTCACGTGCATTCCAGATGAAAGAGGTGCTGACATTTGAGGTCATTAGTCTTTTTGTTCCTGGCTGGGTGCTTTTAAAATGTAAAGAAAAATACAGAAACAAATTTATTACATGAAAATGGAGACAGAGGTCTGTGGTGGCAGAGCCATTATACAGCATTTCAATCAACTATCTGACAAATCTGTACATACAATAAAATTCTGAGCTTCCAACGCTAAAACAGTAATGTTTAACTTTAAGGTATTTTATTCAGAACAGTTTGCAATTTTTTCTTTCATAGTAAAATTTAGCATACCCTGTACGGATTACTTAGATTTTGAGCGGATTTGCTCATTTGTGAATGAACAAATCCGTATGGATTAGTCCTCAAACTGGGGAAATTCGAGCCCTGCAGGTCTCACATTTTTCATACCGTTTGTATTTTTATAAACAAATGATTTACGTGTCGATTTTTTATACTAATGAATGTGTAAATTCCAAACAAACTCAAAGCTTCAGTTTTCCTATACAAAACTAGCCCTAAAGTTCGAAATGGTCTCTTACGTGAGGTACTTGTATGGCAGAATCTCGTCAGCTGAGAGGTTGAATGCTGATCGAAAAACAGACGAAACTTCCTGCTCCACTTCTCGTTCATTCCATGTTGACTGCAATGACAGTTTTCCAATCAAACCCCTCTCAGCCAGTCTGGCACGTTTGTAACCGCGTGGTATTAGTACACAGACGTTGCCTTCTGACTCTTCTGGTGGTATGCAAACAATGTTGCGTGACCATGTCCTAGGAGCACCTGTACTGCTCCTGCTTCTTTTCCTCGCAGATGAGGGTGCGGTGCTTCCAAATCGATGGGGATTAGATATGGAGCTAGGCAGAATAGGTGTAGCAGCGACTGTTCTGCTCTGTGTTGCACAAGGTGATTCCGAAATAGATGTAGGTGTAGGTGTAGAAACCACTGTTTGGAGTTGCGGAGAACCTGGATTTCCCATTGCAGTGCTTTCCGGTAAGCTGAGCATCTAATAAAAAAAAAAGCATTTGGTTTTTAGTCTTGTAAGTTCAGTAAAATTTTGTTAAAATAGAGGTTGATATAGAAATGGGCGACAGTACTTTTGCAACAGCGATATATAAATAACGTGGTTATTTGTTTGACACCGGATTCCTGTCTGGAATCCTTTAGCCTTTACTTTGGGAAAGTGAAATAAAAAGTTAATGTTGTACCCTGGTAATAATGATTTGAAATTTCCCAATAGACTAATAGCCAGCAGAAAATCAGGTTAAATGCAATGAAACTTTGGCTAATTTTAGAGTACAAACCTCGTATCAGCATTTATATCAACCCGAGTAACATCAGTCGATGCTAAAGTTAATACTGGCATGCTTCTTTGGTTTTGCTCTTGTTGATCCTACAAACCAAATACATGCATCCTTATAACATGTGTATATAAGCATAATTAGTATTTGAATGAATCTTGGACCTACGGGGTCTGTGCTTAAATTCCATCCCGACGTAGCCAATGTTTATATATATTCTGGTTTATTCAAAATAATGAAAGTGTCAATGCCACTGTATCTCACCTTGAACATAATGGCAAGAGTGTGCGTTCCATGCACTAAAATTAACTAATTAAAACTGCCTGAAATATCGTAATTCCTGTTTTTCAAACATCCACGATTCGAAGAAACATGAAATAAAGTCCGTACCGTCCGTTCGGACGTACGACGGACAAAACTCAATGGCAATAGCTGAACTTGACAAAGTCCAGGTGAGCAAATTTTTTTTAGCAAATACTATTGAAGTAATTACAGTCATTTGTCAACAATACGTACATTTACTACGGCCGAGTTCGCTGAAGCACCACTTTCATTGTCTGACTGCCGATATCTTGCCTATAAATAGAAGAAAAAAGAAGAAAAATTAGGAAAGAATGGAAAAAAATTATAATGCAGGGTTCTAGCTGTCGCTCGCCAAATCGCGACTATTCTGCAAATTTCTTAGACTTAGAGACAAAATTCTCAAAATAACAAGCTGCATTAAATTGTTAAGTAACTTGTATCAATTTACATCTTGTGTTTATGTTTGCGAGTTCAAAATATAGTCTTAGTTATATTTCTCATGAAAAAAACGTTTTCAATTATTTTTATCTGGATTTTGGCTACAAAAAAATTATTTGGCTAAACACTTCTGCTATAAAACTAAAGCCAAAAAACTACAAAGCCATTCTACCCAGCTAGAACCCTGTAATGAATATATGTTACTGAAAATGGTAGGCCTGTATCAAGCAATGTATATGTACACAGTGTATGAACTCACTGGTCGTCTACGGGTTCGCATGGATCTGTTTCTGTTGAACTGCCTTGTAG